AAAGGAAAGGAAAGAAGATGAACCTGGCACATGCACATGAACTTGATACTCCTTCCTCCACTGAACCTTGCTGTTTATTTGAATTGAATGCTTTCTTCGTAAAGAGAAGTTTGTTTACTTTGCCTGAAGACTGTTATCTTGATCGTTGTGTAATTTTTAATCCCCACTCCTTTGATCCAAGGCAACAAGGAAAAATTCTAGTAAAAGGTTTTCGGATGACATCAAGGTAGCAGCTTTTGATCAGCTTAACAACAAACAGCAACCATAAATATGTATTGTACTGGTAATTTCAGCCCAAATTGTTAACTTAAAAACTAATTAGCAAGCCAAGGTCTAAATTAGCTTTGTTTAACATAAAGCACCAGCAATACAAATGTATGCATATAAAAATTGACTTTGTATGTTTTCATAAAAGCATATGACTCAAAACTATCTGGTGTTGTAGGTAATGGTGAATGTGAAGCTGGTAAATGCAAATGCTTTGCTGGCTGGGAAGGTGACCGTTGCCAGTGCTCGTTACAATCAGCGAAGCACTGCCTGAATTCAAAGGGCCAGATTTGCAGTGGAAGAGGAAAATGTGTATGTGGAAAGTGTGAGTGCACAGATCCAAGAAGTTTTGGCCGTTTGTGTGAATATTGCCCTACTTGTAACAAAGCCTGTGAAGAAAACTGGTACGTTTCTTGTGCTGGACTTGATTTTTTAACTCTGTAGTGTTGAAATGAGGAGAAGTATTTCTGCTTGGCTAGATGTGTGCTACAATTCTTAGATACTTAGACTGTAGGAAATTGAAACAATTCATACTTGAGACTTTTCTCTATGTAGCTGAGGGGTTCACATAGGCAATTAAGAGAAGTGCATGTCTGTATCTGTGTTCACCAGTCTGTATCCAACTTTCAGCTTTCTGAAGTCGAAGGAGGTGTGTCCTATGAGTATAATTTTGTCATATGTTTATTAAAAGATGGTTCTTCATATGAAATCTTTTGGGTAGGAAATAAAGCCCATAAGTTCAGAGTTTTAAAAATTGACGTTAGGTCCTACTCTTGAATGCCACCAAGTCCAATAATACTCTCCAAACTTTTTTTTTGCACACTCCTTGTGCTTCTTAGCTGAAAGAAGGAGGTGTGGAACAAGAGCGGTACCTGCGCATTATCACTGCCATTGGTCAGCAGAGCAGAGCTGGTCTTACCCAGGGAACAACATTCTCCATTACTCAGTTTTAAACCTCTGAGTCTTTGCCTGCTAGTTTTAAAGCATGTCATTTTTCCTTGCTCATGTACAGGAAGGGACAGCGTGGAGGTAGAAATGAGCAGCCCAAGGAGGAGAGAAGCTAGACCAAGCACTCAGTGGCACACTGAGTGTTGCTGGCTTAAAGAGTCAATGAAGCCTTGTCCTTGGGCATGGCTCTTCTATGCTCTCCCATCAGCACATGTAATGTTCTGCCTCCCACTGTGGCCGAGAGGCTGAGAGCCTTTCGTTGGAAAGGGAATTGTGATCAAAACAGAACTGTGGTTTATTTGTATTCACTTGAATTACAGCTCATCTGGTGAATATGCTGGAAAGCCAAGCTCGGCCATGTCTGAAAAGGTGACTGCTAAAACTTCACTAGATATAATGCAGTTGGCTTTGCTGACTTACAGTTGTTCAAAGTTGCTCTGAAATGCATGCCTTTAATAAATATAGAAGATGGCATAGCTTCATTAAAAATTCAGTCAGGGCTTTTTCAGGATCACTTGTGATGTCCATCTTCTATGAGGCTATACAGTGAAGATGGTAAGACTGACAGTGCTGCCTCCCACTGTGCTGTTGACCCTCTGAACTGCCCCGCAGTGGGAACTTATGTGGCTTTGTCTTAACATAGCATCCAAAAAATTATTAACAAAGCTGTGTTTCCTATATCTATCTCTACCCTTCAATTCCAGCATGCATCCCAATGGAATTGATAGATAAGGAAAGACTAGGACTGAACTGGAGGCTGATAACTGAAGAAAGGGTGCTGGACCCTTAGCTACGCCCCCTGAAAAACTCACATCACAAAATGCAGAGCAGGGGCCAGATGAAGGTGGCTCGAAGCCAAAGACATGTTTTACTTTACAACTTCTGACTAGCTGGTTCTGAGAGGCGTCACATGGATAAAATGCTGAGAGGGGCATCATATTTCAGAAAAAAATAAATAAATGTCACAATGTTTTTGCTAACAACAGGAAAGCATTATGTGCAAGCGATACGTCAGCCTGTTGATACAATCTCTTTAAGGGGAATGCAGAGGAAGACATAGGTTTTTAATTACATTTCTGTTCTACAGGAATTGTGTTCAGTGCCATCATTCTAACAACGTATCTCAAGCAAAACTTGACCAGTGCACAACCTCATGTGCTTACCTGCTGCATTATATTGACCAAACTTCAGGTATGTGACATTTTCTAGGTAATTTTAATAAGAGGTAAAAATCTATTGGGATTAATAATTGAATTCACCACTGTTACAATGTCTTTCAAAAGTGTGTTATATTATTACAATAACAAAGAAAGCAAGAAGAAAAATCACTCATAGCTTCAGGGAAAGTAAAAGAAAAATAATAACAGGAAATGTGATTGGCAAGCATTGCTAAATCAGATTTCCCAGCTCCTTGAGAAGTCACATCTAATAATAATGTATCCTGCCTCAGCAATGCTTAAAGAAATATTTATAAAAATCTGTTATGGCATCTGTATGTTTTATTACTTTGGATATGCTTACATTATTTGACATTACCAGAAACGAGGAAGAATGAAGTAGAATGCTTACCTCACGTTCAGTAATGTTTAAATATTCCTTTCAAGTATGAAAAACTGCTGAGTTTTGAGGGCTGTGGAAGAATAAAACTTTTTTTAATAAAATCTCTTAGTCAGTCCACACTGCATCATAAATGCGGGTAAATGGTTACCTTTTGTCACTTCACATTTTTGTACGTCTTTTTATCTTACAGTTGTTCATTAATGAGGAAATTAACTGAATACTTTTCTTATAATTTTAATATTAATTAAGGAAAGCTTACTGTGTGAGAGAGGTCTGCCAGTGAAGATAGCACTGGACAAAGATTCAATAAACCACATTTTCTTTCATATTTCGCCAATGATCTGCACTGTAATATCATGAAGATTAAACTGTCTTGGCCCCGTACATCTCTAACGCTTCATCCTCTCTATTTCAGCTATAACTCACTGGCTTACAGAGAATTTATGGTGGCCAACACTATGCAGTGGTAGATATACCTGTGTTTGAGGGATGATGTGCCTATTCCATAGGTTAGGTTTTACACTTGTGTTTTCTTTTTGTTGCAGAATGTTTCTCTGGACGAAGCTACTTTAGAGTCTTTTCTATAATCTTTATAGTTACCTTTCTGATCGGGTTGCTTATTGTCCTTATCATCAGGCAGATAATTCTGCAGGGGAGTAGCAATAAAGTTAAATCTTCAGCTGATTACAGAATATCTGCAACAAAGAAGGTAATTGATTTCAGTGTCATCATATTCAGTAATCTTTTTCTTGCCTATAAAAGTTAGCTAACTGTTGATAAAAATTGTATCTTCTCCTTCAAGGATAAGATGTTTTTGCCTACTGTTTGTACAAGAACAGTAACGTACAGACGTGACAAACCAGAGGAAATAAATATCGACATCAGCAAGTTACGATTAAATGAAACTTTCAAGTGTGAATTCTGAAGACAGTGTGTTTTCTGCAAATGTCTATTTCCATCATGCTCGACTTTTCAAAAGTTACCTTTTGTACTCTGTCGGAGTCTTGACTGTTGCCATATGGTTTTGTGTTGTGCGTTTTGTTAAATACTGTAACAAGGTGACAAGTAAGCATATTCACATAATGTGACTATGTTTGAAACTACAGCTGCTGTATTTTATTTTTTTATTTGAAAGAGAAATGTGCGTTACTACTGTTCAGGAACATTAGAGTTGATGTAGCACTTTAGCATATTCTAATTTATTTAGTTATGGCCTAGAATGTAGATATGAAACGGTCTGACAAAGCACTGATCTCACTCTACATGTAGCTAGTACTGATGTGCTCTGTGGGAATGGGCAAAAGCTGTGACTGAAATATTAACAATGCTGTATATTATAGCAATATAGAAACTATTCAAATGCTCTTAAATAGAGTAAATGGTACTTTTATATTTCTCTCAGTTGACAAATTCCACTGATTTGTCTGCTTTAGCCTCTTAGCTTTTCCTCATTACTTAATAAAAATGACTGGATTAAATGAGTGCTTAGTTACTGGTGTGGGTGTATCGTTGTGTGTGTACACACACACACACACACACGCATGCACGCACACACAGGTAAATTATATATATAGTTTTTATAGGTATGGTGTCACTTACAGATAATTTATATCTGATAAAGAGTAACTTTTAGCTTTTTTACTTGTTTCAATGTAAAAAATTTTATAGAAGTTTTAAGATATTTGGAAACTGAATTACTACAGAAAATGAGAGAGTTCCTGTGTCCAACAGCATCGTGTACATGATGATCACTGCCAGGTGACTTCACCTTTGGAGTCAGCAGCATCAACTCCATTGCAAGTAGATAGATTACACCGGAGCTATGTTTCGTTTGCTAGCTACATGTCAGTGTTTTGCCAAATAAGAGCTTTGGTTTTTTTGTGTGATGTCAGACATAAGTCTGATTTAACACACGTGCTCTTTTTTCTATGTAAATTAGTTGACAGGATTAGTTTTTGTGAATTATGTAACCACTTCAATTTTTGTGACTGTGCATTGAGAAATGTGTCCAGCATGATGTGGAAAAGAACCTGCATTTTGGAAAGTGGTGAGGAAAACAGGAGTCTTTTCCCCAAGAGAACACATTAATTGACTTCATAAATGTGGGATCAGATTCTGGCTTCAGAAATGGGCAAAACTCTTCTAAACACAGTGGGACCAATATAAGCTTATCTGAGAGCAGAATTAGAGCTACAAAGTCAAGCTGAAGCATTTTATTACCCCTGAAACCGGCTACAGTGGTAGAAGATGTGTTACTGATATATGCTAGTTGGAAGAGTCGGCCAACAGTCTGATTTACTAACTTTCTGCTGTGGAAACCCTATGAAAATCTGATCAACCTCTAATCCACTAGAATCTTGCAAAAGGAAAAATCATCTCAGAAAACAGTTTGCAGTGTATCATTTTAGCAACATTAATTAATGATACTAAATATTGGTGTGTACTTGTCATAGATATGAGTTACAAAATCAAAGCAGGACCCCTTTATAGGCAGTTTTTAGAAATTAGTATATATTTGTATTTCCTATTCTGTATTTCTTCTGTAAATTCCCACTGAAATCTGAGGAGTATACATGTGAAAGGAAGGCAGGATGCAGAACAAATGGTAAGTGTTACGTGAGTGTTCGCAGTTTCTTGGGTCATGGATCAAGTGGGACTGAGAAAAATAATATAGAGACAATGAGCATTCCATTAAATTGTCAAAAAAGCTTTAGATTTTAGGGATTGCTTTTTAAAAAACTGGATTATTAAATGTTTCTAAAGCAGTCTTCAAAGTAGTTCCTGAGCTTTCTACCATACAAGTAAAAGGGTCTCATTTTAAGAAAAGGGTGTTTCCTTACACTGACCCTGATTCTAGTGACAGCCTAATTGTAATATCTTAATTATAGATTAATTCTGTAAACTATCAAGTATACCTTAAACTTTCATTTTCCTTTAAAACATGTAGAACCATTTTCCACCTGTGTAAATTAACAGATTCCAAACAATTGATTTCAGTGGGATAAAGAGAAAAGATTCATAAAGGTTGACCTGCTATTTCCCTGGTAACAATTCATTAGTATTTTTAAGTGAGTAGGAAACAAAGTCTCTGGTTATCTGTTTCACTTAACAAAATTATAAAAAAAAAATAAATTAAAAGCTCAGTGGAGAATGTCAGTATATAACAAAAGATGTGATTATGTTCCTTAAACAGTGTGATAATTTCTTTTAACAAATATTCCTCAGAATGTATTTCGCACAATGGCCTTTAAAGCATTTACTGAAGTGATAACTAATGTTTTTTCTTTAGAAATTACTTTTCACTGTTAGAAGGAGTTGAATTATGTGGGTAGGGGACAATGGAGCTGAGTTCATTGTGGAAGAAAGGTTTGAGCTGTGTCATCTTCCAGGCACATGGCACTGCTAATACTTTTCTTCTGCAGCACTTAGTTGGCATTGCAGTGCTGCCTGTGAAGGGGCACGGCCAGTATTTCCTTATCAGACACGTACCTGAATGTTTAAAACGCTCTGGTCAAATAGAGCAGGCTCACAGGGCAAATTGCACTGCACTGTAAGCTGCTTGCTGCTCTGAGGTTAAAAAAAAAAAAAAAAAAAAAAAGTGTATTTAAAAAAAAAACTGTTTTTTAAGGGAAAATGAAAAAGGAAATAAAGCTTTTTTGCATCTCCCTCATGGTTTTGCTGAATTGTGGAGGAGGCTAGTGAAAAAGAATAAGCTGCTGCTAATGTGACAGGTCAAGGCTTTTAGAAGGCCCATGGGGAGCTTATACAGAGCAGGATCCTTGGGAGGAGGCTTTGTTTCTAGGGATGGAATCTATCCATGAGAAACTCTGGCTTTGCTTGGTACTTGTTTCCCTCTGCCTTTGACCATGTTTTTCAGAAGAGCTGCTGCAGGAGATGAATAGCCCAACAAAAGCCTCACTATTTAGGGAGCTGTGTTCCCTCAGCACATGACCTTAAATGAGAAAGCAGCCTGTAATTCACAAGGAATTTCCTTAGCAATTGCAGAAGGACTCTGCTTCCTATAGTGCTTAATATGGGAGATATTAAAGATGAATTAGTTCATATTAGTTTTCACTGTATTGTATGTCAAAGATATTCATAAAAATAGGGGGAAAAAATATCAAGCCTCAGAATAGAACGTTCCAAACTTCTTAAATGAAACTTCTTATACTGGCCTTCTTCAAAAATTGAAAAAAGTCAAATAATTCGACTGCATGCCTATACCCAAAAATATACCAGCAGATACTGTTGCATCTCATCATTGGTTTTGGGAGGTTTTTTTGCATGTACATGACTTTTCACAGCAGATGTGTTAATGTTAAAATCCATATGTATAATTTTCAAATTCTAATCCCACTTTTATTACCTTTAATTTTTTACCTTTACCTTTACAACTTATTTGTCTAACTTTTCAGAAATTACATGTTTATGCAATTAAAAAGCATGCATTTTACTTCAAATTTTTTTAAAGACTCTAAAATTAAGAAATACTATGGATTGATTATTTCCAAGCATCATGAGTTATGTTAATAACATTGGTACAGAAGTGTGTGGGAAAAATAGCTATTTCATCCAGAAAACGTGTACATGGTATGCAAGGAATTTTCATTGTGCCCAGCTGAAATTCCCTTACGTTCACAAGGAATGTTGGAAGTGAACCTTAAAAAGGAAGGACGTTTGTATAGGCATAGTTTACATTTTATCCATTATTTTCAACTGGATTTATTTTTTCCTCTCTATGGTGTCATGAAAACCTGCTATGTAAAGTATTCTTCAGACTGCAGTGGAAAAAATCTTTTTCCCAGTCTGATCATATGTAATATTTGTTTCCTGCTTAGTGTGCATACCTAAACGTACATGTGTTGCAAACCGTGGGAGTGAACGTGTGAAGCAGCTTCGAGCAACCCTTAGTCCTAAAGTAGCCATAAGGCCTAGTGATGCCCAAGGCAGAGAGGCGAGTGCACTGCTGCCTGTGCAGGGACTTGAAGAGAGACAGCATCCTCAACAGGCACAATGCGTCCTGCAGTTCCCCACGGCATCCCTGCAGAGGTGGTGCTCTGAGACCACACTTTCCATTTGTCAGGGCAGGAAGCCTCTTCAAAGTAAGTTGGCTTGGCAGAGGTGGTACGGTTTGTGTCCTAGGTGCTTGGCCACACGTTGGAACTGCATTATGTGCAGTCTGCAACCCTCAGCGCTGCAGGCTTTTCACATCTTTACTTGTCAAAAAATGCTTTGTGTGTAACTCAGCAAGGGACCACCTGTGTCAGTATGTACTGTAAACCTGGATGCTGCAGACCTCCTTTAAAGCTTCTGAGAAGTCTTCGGGCATCTGCCCATTGACTTCCCACCAGCCCCAGGATCTCCACCAACCGGCCTTAAGGAATGTAAGCTGTAGCTGGGAAAGGGCACTTCTCATAGAAGCATTCGTGCTGAGTCAGCGCTGGGTGACACTTACTTTGCTCTATGAGTGAAGCATAGTGCCAGTGTTCTGGCTGTCCATTTGCAAGAGAGGGGAAAGATTTATTTGCTAAGCAGAAATGGAGCAGTAGTTAAGAAGAACACTACTTTTTAATGATGATCTTGACACTGCTCAGGTTCACAGACATCTCATGGATCTTACAGAGAATTGAAATTCATGGAGAAGGAAAAAAAGTTAAGATTAGCCAGCATGAATGCATTTCTATAGCGAGCCAAATCAGTGGGGTTTCACTGAGTGCAAGCCAGGTCAGAATGGTTGGCCTTTCTGGGAGAAAAAAAAAAAAAAAGAAAAAGAAAAAAACTAAAATTAGTAGATTCTTAAGCTTTAGAAATGCTGCTCTGGATTGCATGTTCTCTTTGTTTCCTTTTCTGCACACACTCTTAAAAAAAAGGTACCTATTTATTTTAAAAAAAAAAAAAAAAATGGTCTGGCATTTGTTAGAATAGTGGCTTCTACCCAAATCCTAACATTTCATCCTGATACCTATATTGTGTTTGGGCTGTTTCAGTTATATTTTGAAGTGAGATATTGAAAGATGAAAGATTCTTTTGGGAAGGCATTAGTGTTGGTTGAATTCACTGTGCTAACATCTTTTTCACTTTTCCTTACTACTGCTTCAAAAAATAAAGCTACTTTAAAGTGTCTTATTTAGCAATGGTGTGACAGCTATTAATAATACTACAGTTTTTAATTTTCTATTTAACATATACTATCTTTTGTAAAAAAAAGTATATACAGATAAATAATGTTTCTCTAGATTTT